TATTTTACAGAAGATTAAATATTAATTTTTTTTATTTATTTCAAAACAAGTATAGGGTGACGCCTATGGTTTTTTAACCTGTTGAGGATTTGCATACATAATGTGCTATCAATATGATGGAAAACTACACTAAATAAGGTTAATTTTTGTTTATGAATTTTACTTTTTTTTAATTTTAAAGAAAATCCTATTATGCAGTTGTAAGTGTCTTTCAATATTATTTTCCGAATGATACGGGTTTTCAAAGATTATCAGATCTACAACAGTTAATATTCTTGTTTCAATAAACGTACTTGTTACACATAGTCAATCAATTAATTTTGCCAAACAAAATCGCCAAACACTGGGTCTAGTAAACATTCAATTTAAAGCAGAAATATCTACAATTTAAGGTCCAATAATAGACTAAGTGGCAGTCAATCTAAACGAAGTTATTAAAGTTCTCATACTAATCAAAGTTCAATTTCTGCATAGTATTGCATGACAGCGAGCAAATTACAAGAAGAAGCTACTATTTGTCTGTCCATCAGACGTCTAAGAATAATTAGAATCATCAATTAGTGAAAACTTAGGAACGAGTTGTTTAAGAGAAATAACGAAATTATCACGATCGTTTTCGGGAATCGTAAAAGCATATTATTAGGATTTAATGCTTTAAAAAGTGAATTATAAAAGTTAATTTTTATATAGCATAATGGGGTTTAGGATAAAATGTTCAATTACTAGGTAACGGATTTGTATTTACAAATACAATCAGTTTAGTGAGTAACCTAACAAAAATAAAATGGAAATAATATTAAACTCTAAACTGCTATATATAGTAAACTAGGTACTATATAAGCTAGTCAGTTGGAACTATTAGCTTTCATAATAAATTATATCTTTTAAAAATTGTTTTCTTCTTATTTTTATGTAGACTTTGTCTGTTTTTCAACGTTTCTCCAGTAAGTTATCATTTCGTCGTTTTGTGGTTTTCCCACTGATCGTCTTCCTATTGGAGAATCGTCTCTTTCCGTCTTTACTACTCTATTTGTTGTCATTCCACATATTATCGTTTTATTCTACTCTTCTATTTCTTACCCAGTCCTTGATGTTTTATACCTTGCATTTCCTTCGTGTATCTGCACTTTTAGCTCTGTCTCATAGTGTCTTACCATATATTTTTCTAATGGTTTTCATATCTTCTGTTTTTAACATTATTTTTGTGCTCTATATTTCGAGTCGTGCTTCTGCTGAGTATGGGATTATTGGTCTGATGACTGTTTTGTAAATTCTGCCTTTCATTTGTTTCCGGATCTTGCAGCTCCGTTTGCTCTATTCATTTGACCTGCTACTTCCAATTTGAGCTTTTCGTTGCTAGACAGTGTTATTCCCAGATTTTTAATCTGTATCATTTGTTTGATTATCTGTCCTTTCTTCAATTAATATCTTAGTATATTTTCTGTAGATCTTAAGACCAAAGTATACAATCAATGCGTACTCCCTGTTCTTACTTATGGTTCCCAAACGTGGACATTTACAAAAGCAAACATAGACAAAATCATAAAAACCCAAAGAGCAATGGAAAGACAAATGTTGCACATAAAACTAATGGATAAAAAAAGAAACGAGTGGATAAGAGAGAAAACAAAAGTGAGGAATGTTAGACAAGAAGTTGCAAAATTGAAATGGAGATTTGCCGGACACAATATAGGACAAAAAGAAGACCGATGGAACAAAATTCTTATAAGTTGGAGACTGTGGGAATATAAACGAAGCAGAGGAAGGCCCGAAATAAGATGGGCAGATGATTTCAAGAAGCACGTGGGCTCTAGATGGATGACTGTAGCGACAAACAGAGAAGAATGGAAAGGAATTGGGGAGGCCTATGTCCAAAGATGGACCGAAGAAGGCTAATTAGATAGATAGATATTTTATATATCCATGCATTTTGTCTTTCTTTGTGAAATAAATCATCATGTTAAATTTTCTGGTGGTTACATTAAATTTATGCATAATACGTTGTAAATCATCTTCACTTTGAGAGAGTAGTATACTGACGTCTGCGTAGCAGATTATTTTAAGAGTTTTTTGCCCATATGGCATTTTTTCCTTCTAACTTTTTTATTGTTTTATCCATAATAAGGTTTACCCATTTTAGCCCAATGTTGCCACACGGCAACGCAAATTGGGTGTCTATACAAATGTTCCTAATGTGTCTTTTGCAACACATAATATGTCACTGCAGATCGCTTCAATAATATTGTCGAAACATGTGTTGTCTGATCTACAAGAACATTTTTGTGGTTACATTCAAAATGGACATTCAATTTTTTCATATTTTGTATACACTTGAATGAAGAAAAATGTGTAGCAAACCCTTCAACAGAATATTAGAATAAAAATCAGAATATGATATCAATCCGGAAGATAAAACATCACTTTTAGAATTTCCCCCTCAATACGTGGCTATTTGCCCAAAAAGATCAAGGCCAAGTAAGTCAACTGTCAAATTGGATATTACAAAGCGCCAATGGCCAGCCGGAGTGTGAGGTCATGGCGGCCATATTGTTATTACTACTTTCCAAACAAAGGTTGAAATGTTAAATTTCGAGACTTTTTAATTTTTATAAAGTTAACATTTTGCTTCCTCTGCTGATTTTTCTTTTAATTATAGTGTTTCTACGATAATACTACCATAATTCGGTGTTCTATTTCTATGAAATCTAGTTTAAAAGTGTAAATTAAAGAAATTCTAACTTTACTTTATTGTTATATGCATTATATTGCTATTTTTATAAAAATAACATGCTTTATTATTTACACAACCTTGCAAAATTGTTGTAGCAATTATTAGAATACTTAGATATTGCAAAAAGCGGAAAAGATCTGTAAAAAAATGAAAAAATAACGAAAAATAGAAATTATCCATACTAAAGAAGGTTTGTTTGGAAAGTGAAACTGACAGATGTCAATAAAATCTACGTCACCACTCCGACTACGTCATAAAATTTTAACAGGTTAAAATAATTTTTATTCTTTTCGAGAACAATTTTCGGATTGGAAATCGAAATGTCATAAACATAATGTAAAATGTTATTTTTATTATAATTAATTTTAGCTTAATACCATATAAATCCAACATATATTGAATAAAGTATAAGTTTATTCATAAAAAATATTCATTAAAGAACCAAATTTTACAATAAGGTACCTATAAAAAGTATTTAAATACAAAATACAACTCAGGATCAATAGCCATGACCTTCTTACGGTAATGTACCTACAACTTACTTATTGGAGGATTTCACCACTATGTCAACTCCATTTACACCAAATCAATAAATTACCACCGTAACAATTACAGAAAAACATTTGTAGTCCATTTTACAATACACATAACACAACAGTTGTAAACTCGAAATCAGTTGCTGCGTTCTGCCATAAATTACCCAGCAGAAGGGCATTTATTTCCTACTTGTGGCATTTAAAAGCCTTAAGTACCAAATTAAGGCAATTTCGTTTCTTATAATAAACCGGAAGTGTACCATTCTGTTCCGAGCATTTTAGTGCGAAAAACCGACCCAAGACAGGTGGGCCATCTTAAGAAATGTAACACATAATAAACAGTTTTACAATAGTTCTTCTGTTAGCAGTAAAATAAGAGATTTTCTAAAAACCAGGTGGTAGGCGTGATGTTTGATCTTTAAATTTTCTGAGCGGCTATATAATTGGTTTTAAGAAACGTCTTTGTATGAATTCTAAGTACCTATACGTGAGTATATATCACTAAATAGTATTTGAAATTTATTGCTTCGTCCTTTTTCTATAAAGGCTGTTTTATTATGTGTTTGTTCATAGTGCTCTACAATTTCAAGACAGAAAAAATTACTTTACATTATAGTTTATTGCTTTCGGAAAATAAATCATTCTTACTTTTATACACTAACGGCCGGCGATGGAATGCAAAAAATCCATTTAAATTATTAAAAAAAAAATTATATTATTGTAATGGATATAAAATCTATATCTAACGTAGGAGGGTATGATTAAAATATGTCATCTTTTATTTATACTCAACATGTAACCCGTGGAGGGTTGTACTGCTCACAACAACAGTGTTATTATTGGAAATTATGGAGGAAATACTCAATAATTGGACGTTTTTGTTTAAAACAAGAATGGCTAAAAAGTATAAACAATAAACAAAAAAATGAGAAAATAAATTAGAAAAGAAAACATTAATAGACTTTGTTATGTTTATTTAATAATAAATTATAAAAAAGATAACACTCAAAAGCTCTCGGAATAATTTTTACTAATTCTAGTTGTAGAACACATACACAATATCCTATTCACAACTTATAATAACAGACTTCTATAAACAAAGTGTAAGTTGCATATTTTGGACTACAAATGGTACCCCCTGAGTACCGCCGTTAAGATAGACCCTCACTCCCAGAATTAAATTTTTCGAAATTTTTTTACGTTCCAAGCAATTAGTGAGAAATATTTGTAGCGACAAGCTAATTACAAATAATTAAACTTTTGTATTCAAATATTAAATAAAACAATCTCATAGTAAAATTTACCTTTTCGCATTTGGTTATACACATAAGAAAGAGAAATGTGTTCCTCAATATATTTATTTAATTACTACAGATATTAGATATGCTCGACAATTTAATTATACATTTTGAGTGCGTTGCATTTTTTATGGGAAACGAAATATAATATAGCGACCAGCCCTATAATGAGAGTTTATCGTCTGGCTTTTAAAATCAAAGAACGCGTGTTCTGACTTTAGTTTGAGTTTTCAGTAATCTTTCGAGACACCATTTGCTTCGGTCCCCGATACATATACAAAAAATACCGTCCCTTCGAGAATTAATTACGTATTACAAAATAAAGTGGTAAAGAAGTTTATCACACACGCATCCACACAACCACGGAACATTGATAACCCCGTGAACGTTTAAAAAGAATAGTGTTGATAATATACGTTTTGCCGGACAGTGAAAATGCAAGGTAGTGCCAATAATAGTGCTCCAGGAGTGGTTCCCGAAATATGGTTCCTGCAAGTAGAAAACCAATTTGCACTAGCAAATATTATAAATGACGCAACAAAATTTAATTATATAGTTGCTAATCTAGAATCGGCATACATATCCGAAGTGAGAGAAATCATTGTATCACCTCCAGCTACAGACAGGTATGTAAAGTTAAAAATAGAAATAATTAAGAGTCTCAGTGCATCACAAAAACAAAAAATTTAAAGATTACTCGAGCATATATAAGATAAGATTATAAGATCTCTGTGGTTAGGTAGACTGCCATCCTCTATACAGGCTATTTTAGCTTCCCAATCAAACGCTGGTGTAGACACAGCTGCCAAGCTAGCAGATGCAGTTTTTGAAGTTGTAGCTCCTAGAATACAAATTTCGGAAACGGCCACTGCTCTTGAAAGCACCATCGAAAAATTAACAGCCGAATTAGCTGAAATGAAAATTCAGCAGACTTTCGCGGTTGCTCAACCACAAACCAATACGTACTGTATCTACTTTGTTTAGGCTGTGGCGCCTCTTCAAGAGTGGGGTTTGTTAGTACAGAAACGCTAATCTAGGCATATTGCTGCTCTCCGGATCTAAGTGGTGGCTGTAAAGAAGTAGTGTCCGAAGGATTGCCTGCCTTTGGGTATCGGTTGGACCAAGACCTCTACCAAGTACCTACAAGTTCTGTTGGAAACGGTTTTTGGTGGTTGTATGTTTATGATTTGTACGCTTGGGTGAAGGTACAGTGTATGTGTGGGTAACTAATAAATGTGTATATGAATAATGAATGTGTAAGTTGTATTGTGTGTTTATGTGCGGAGTTGAGTGAAGTAATTTTTGTAGCAGGAAGTTGATATGGCGTACCCATACAATGCATTGGACATTTGATTTAAATAGCGGATTGTGGCTCTCCTCTTTTCAGGGAAGACATTAAAGAGGATCACGAATATGAAGTAGATTATAGGTTTCATGTCTGAGAATAGGTCGTATGAGAGGATTTGCTTGAAAGTATGTACGAGCTCTGTTTGTTTTGTGTCTTTTGGTTGGATTTTTCTCTCTGAGCATTTTTGTGAAAATTCCGGGTGGCCTTCATTACAGTTGGGACATTTGGGATCACCTATCGTGGGACATGCAGTAAACCTGTGTTGTTGTCCACAGAGTGGACAGATAATTGATTTTTTGGGGCATTCGTTGCTGACTCTTTTGCAGCATCTCGAAAAGTATTTTAGTCGAACCGGAACAGAATTGCTTGATCTTGAAATCTCGCTTTTTAATCGTTCTTGTGATTTTAACCCGCCAAACCCCTACCACCAAAAACGTCATTATTCGTTTTAGTTTTTTTTTCGGAGGGTTCCAATCAATTTAAAAATTCACACGCCTAGTTGAGGCATTTACAAAACTTGCCTATTCTTTTGGATCCCTATGTTGAGTGTACATGACCTAAACAAACGCTTTTTTTTGTTTTTTTTTTCGAAAAAACCGTATAACTTTTTTAGATGTGGCTATAGGTCTAATTTATCTTTTTTTTAATTAAAACCCTAAAAACCAAAATTTTTAAAAACATGCTGTTTAGTTATGTATAAAAGTAAAAAAAGTTTATTAAATTCAGTAAAAACCCCCGAATAACCCTTGGAAATCTCGTTTTTCTTGAAAACCGAAAATTACATTTTAAAAATTATTAGTAACCCTCAAAAGTACTTAAAAAGCTTACAAAACATGTTTTTTGGGTTTAAAGGTGTTTAGCCCAAATTTAAAATGTCCTAAGGCTCAGTTACTTCAAATAATATATAACCTACAAAAAAACCTTGATTTGATCTATTTTGAAGTCTACAAACCCCCAAATCCCCAAAAACCACTAAGAAATAGTTTTGTGGGTTTTTAAAGGTGGTATACCTAATGGAAAAATCTGGAACAAACCAAAAAATAGTTTTTGATTAAATACAAAATACAAAAAAATTAGACCTTCAACTATCTCAAAAAAAGTAATATGCTTTTTTCGAAAAAAAAATGTAATAATATGCTCAACCTACAGGTCTATAAAAAAAAAGTTTTGTAAAAACCTCATCTATGCCGAAAAAAAAAATTATTAAAAATGGAGAAATGACGTGTTTAGTAGTAGGGACTATTCAATGAGTCTTAAAAATATAAAAAAAATGAACTCTGGAGAGCATTTTACACATCTTAATGTAGGTACTATTTATGATCAAGACAAAGTTTGGGCTCCTCATAAAATTTAAAATATGTGAGGAGGACCTTTAAAACTGATAAAAATAAAAGTTAACAATTTGCGGCATCTATGGTATGGCAAGAACAAAGAAACCAACTCACAAGTGCTACTTCTGCTCGTGTGATATTAAAGGGTTCAAGTAAAAATCAAAGCATTCCATAATGCAGAAAAGAGATACCAGACATAGATTAAGTTAGTATATAACCTAAACACGATCAATACTCAAGGTCTAACTTTGAGGATGACATTAGACCAAAATGTTTCTCCCAGGAAGTGGTAAATGATTTGGTAAGAGATCTGGATTTTCTTAAAGACGCCTTTAGGTTGCTGGGCTTAAGAATCAATATCGATTACTACTATGCTATTGATGTTAATTAATGTCAAATGGATAAAGTTGCGATCTTAACAAAATAACCAGAAAAAATATAAATAATAGAAAATATCAACATATACGTCCATATATCACAACCAAAAATATGTAACACCTAGAAGGACAAATATTTTTTAATATTTAATTAAAAAGTTAATAATGAGCGGCTCCTCCTTGATTTTCTATACACTCAGTTATTCTATGGTGCATTGACCGAATTCAGTGGTCTATTTCATATTGCAAAATACTTATCCAGATTTTTCTTAAAGCATGGCACAGGTTTTCTAAATTACCACATCTGGAGGATGTGGTAATCAATTTAGGTTTCGACCTATCATATCCCATACATGTTCAATGAGTGACAAACAAGCTGATTTTGATAACCACTCCAAAGTCTCTATACCAGATTATTGTATAAACTCCATGGTTTCATGTGTCATATGAGGTCTTGCGTTGTTCTGTTGAAAGATCGCATTTGGAATGGTCTGTAGGTAGGTATGTTAAACCGGTTGCAGTATTTTACCAATATATCGTCGAGCTATCAGAGTGCCGTTCTTCTTCTTCTTATGGTGCCCTATCCAATTAGTGGATGTTGGCGACAATTTTGGCATACTCCTCTCGATGTTGTGTGGCTTGAAAGCCATGTATTTCTTTTTTCCGATGCCCTGTTTTCCTTCTATCATCCTTTCCATAACAAGCTTTAAGAGCTAGTACTTGGAATTTCGAAGAGTGCCGTTAATTAAAACTAAAGATGATCTGCTTCCCAAAAATATATCACTTCTTTCCATACTGCTTGGTTGTCTTTGTCAGCTCGAAAACGTCTTACTATATGCGCTTATCAGAGCCACTCAAACAATCACTGAAGCAGACAAAATTTCATTGCCATTCCAGTTTTGCCGAGATTTAAGTTCCACTCAAGTTTTTCTTGAGACTATTCTTCATATAGCAACAACTAAATCATCTCGTACTGGATGTACACTGTCCTGTCTATTTATGAGAGCAACAAGTCTTAGATGGCGCAAATCATGGCCTTGCAATATTTTAGGACGAAAAGTCTTATCATTGGACCACTTCCTCTAAACTCTTAACACCGTTGATATGGATTAGTTTTAGCTCTTTATGAAATTTCCAGCTAACCAAAACCGGCCTCTTTCTGGCCGGTTTTGGTTAAAAAGGACTGCAAACACTTTGCATTTTAAATTAACAAGCAAAATTGCTTATATAAAGGAACAAATTGAATATAGATATTTTAGGTCTGAGTGAAGTTAGATGGCCTAACTCAGGAACAACAAAAATTATGAACAAAACACTTTATTATTCAGGCAACAATGATCCAAAACATTTCAATGGAGTAGGTGTAATAATAAACGATGAATTGAGTAACGCAGTTTCAAACTTTATACCACTCTCTGACAGAGCAATGCTGTTGCAAATAAGGAGTTCTCCTTTTAATGTGAATATTATTCAGGTCTATGCACCAACCGCAGATAAGCCAGATGACATACTAGAAGAATGGTATGAAGATCTACAAAAGCTCATGAAATTGACAAAGAAAGAAGATATTAACATCGTCCTAGGAGATTTTATTGCTAAAATAGGAAGAGGGAAATTCCAAAATATCGTAGGAGAATACGGACTAGGAGAACGAAATGAAAGAGGAGACAGACTATTAGAGTTTTGCCAGCTACACAATATGATAGCAACAAACACTTGGTTTAAGTTACCTCAACGTAGGTTATACACCTGGACTTCCCCGCTACACACAAAAGAAAGAATAATAAGAAATCAAATAGATTATGTTTTAATCAACCAACGATTTCGTAACTCCATTACAAGTACAAAAACATATCCTAGTGCTGATGCAAATTCCGACCACAACCCTGTAGTAGCAAATATTCGCACAAGAATTAAAGTAATAAAAAATGCAAAGCCGAAGTACAAACCTAATATGGAACTACTAAAAGATGTACAGATTAAAGATAAAACTACTGTAAAACTAAATGAAAAACTCTCAGAAATAGACCGAACCCAAATAAATATCCAAAATATAAATACAACTTGGCAACAAATAAAATCCATCCTTGTCAATTCTGCAAGGGAAGAAATTCCAAATACACGATTAATGGCAAAAAAAGACTGGATGACACCAGCTATTCTAAAGATGATAGACGAAAGGAGGAAATACAAAAATAAGAACACAAGCGATTACAAACGATTAAATACAGAAATACGAAGGAAAATAAAAGAATCAAAAGAGAAATGGCTCGAAGAAAAATGTAAAGAAATAGAAGAATTAGAACATAGACATGATTACTTTAATATGTACAAGAAGGTGAAAGAATTTTCATTAATCCGCAAAAAACAACATTGCCCACTGGTAAATAACAACGGAGAGTTAATTCATAACACCAAAGATAAAATAGAAGAATGAAAAAAATTTATACAACAGCTGTTCCGAGATGAAAGAATAGACATTACAATAAATAATGTTACTGAAAGCCCACCAATTCTAAAAGTCGAAGTGGAATATGCCATTAAACAATTAAAGACCAACAAAAGCCCTGGACCTGATGAAGTTTATCCTGAAATACTTAAATTGATCGAAAGTAATAACATTGATTTGTTAGTAATTTTGTTTAATACAATCTACGATACTGGGAAAATACCAGAGGAATGGTTAGAATCTATTTTTATTCCCATTCCAAAACAAGCTAACTCCAGGCGATGCGCAGATTTTAGATTAATAAGTCTTATGAGCCAAGTGCTTAAAATTCTATTAAAAATACTTCACAATAGGGTATACAAAAGGTGTGAAAATGAAGTTGGATACGATCAATTTGGATTCAGAGCCGGAATGGGGACCAGAGAGACCTTGTTTTCATTACAAGTACTGCTGCAGAAGTGTTACGACCAACAAAAGGA